TCCCTCCGCCCCCCCCATCGACCCAGCCCGCACGCCGCACCCCTCCACACAATCACCCCCAGCGGTCTCTTTAACCTCACGCGTCGCTCCCTCAACCCCCCCGCCCGCGCCTCACCGTCCACCCCTCTTACCCCTGACGCCCCTCCCCTTGGCGCCTATATCACCCCAGCCGCCTGGGCCTGGACCTGAATACAGACAAGACTCTCAAGGAGGCGCGCTTTGACAGGTTGGTCGATGTGTGTGTGTGTGTGTGTGTGTGTTGTGGGGGTGCGTCTGTGCGTGTCTTTGTGTGTGTGAGTGTGGGTGTGGGTGTGTGTTGAGATGGGCGGGTGTGGGGGGCTGTGCTGTGGAATCCCTGGACTTGCGTGCCTCAGCACATGGAGCCTGCGCAGCGCCAGCTGCCACGGGGCAGCGAATGCAGTTGGCGCCCCCAGGCCCAATCTCAATTGTGCGCCCATTGGCCGGAGTCAGTCACGTAGCCTCCCTCAAACATCAAGCGCTGCGCGTATATTCAAAGAGGGCACCACAAGGTATCATGGCGGAACCTTCCGGTCCTCGTGCTGCGTGCTTGCCGCCTGTCCACGTCGATTATTGCATCTGCATCCGCCCGCCCCAGGCACTTTGTGCGCGACCTGACGTGGAGCCGCCACCAGCTGGAGGAGCTGGCTGAGAGGAGGTTCAGGGCCGCACAGGTGGGGGGCAGGCACTGCACTATATGGCCAAGGCGGGCGCGCACGTGCGTGCATCCGTGTGTGTGTATGCGTGTGTGTGTGTGTGTGGGGCAAGTGTGCTTGTGCGAGACGGTGCAGGTGGGGTCCCTGGGTGGGAGGGCGGCGCTGGGGTGACAGGGGGGGAGGGGGCAGGGCAAAACCTGGCCTCGTGGTACGTGTGATTGCGACTGATGGACCTGAAGTGAAACGCCCCCTTGGGCCGCCCCTCTTGAGATCGGACCTCCTGCAGGGCTCCTGTGAGCGGCGCGTTGATGCACACGCGTTTTACTCTCCGGCGGGCGCGCCGGCCGCTCACCGCACCCAGCAGCACCCGCTCCTCCCCCGCTGCCCCTCCCTCGCACACCTGTCCCCTCCCTCCCTCGCATCCACACCCTCCATTACGCACCTCTCCCTACCTCATGGCTGTCTCCCAGCATTGACCCCCCAACTTCCCTACCCCCTCACCTTCCCCTCAAAGGACTCCCTGAAGGCTGAGGCGCTGGCCCAGGGGCGCCCCTTCCCCGGGGGGACCAATGGGGACGCGGGGGCCGTGGCGGGTAGCACCAGCTTTGCCGACCTCTTCAAAAAGGTGGGTTGGGGTTTGGGATAATACTGTGAGATTGTGTGTGTATGTGTGTACATTTGTGCATGGGTGTGACATTATGTGTGTGTGCATATGCTGGGTTGAATGCACATGCATTTTAGATGTGATCAGGAAAAGGGCCACACATTGTGGGCATGTCTTGAACCAGCCGCCTGCAGCCGTGGTCCCAAGATCTGTTGAGATGCAGCAATTCAGCCCAATTTCGGCCAAACCACAAAGCATCAGCTCGGTTGGGCAGGAGGAACTCCCCACCTCCGCCCACCCATTGCACAAGCCTGGCTGTCACGCCCCCTCGCCCCACCCCCCCCCCCATCCTGGCGCCATGTGACTTTTTACATGTATCCAGCAGCTAAACGCACTCAGTGCGCCTACCCCTTAGGCATGCATGCACCAACCGCCCCACAGCACGCACAGTTGCTTCCCCCTGCAACCCTAGATCCGGCCCAGGCACGCGCCAATCCCTTAGACCTGGCCCAAATCCTGCACACACCCATGTTCACCACCACCCCCAACCCCCACAAAAAGCAAGGTCATCTCCTGAAGCGCGCGAGCACATCTCTGTGACCCCCGGCCTCACTGCTACCCGCGTCACCTGCCCCTGCACCTTTCCAACCCTGCCCCTCCCCCTTCCCAAATCAAAGGTGCGCGGTGAGGACTTCTCCTCCTACCTGGCGAAGCTGTCAACGCCGCGCGAGCTGCTCATCATGATGACGGAGATGTTTGCGCGCATAGAGGCACACCCGGACGGCGGCCTCACGGCGCAGGTGCAGCCCGTGGTCTTGTGTGTGGGGTGGGGGTGTGGGGGGGTGGAAGAGTGTGTGCGTGTGTGTAGATGGACGTGTGTGTTTTGGACTGGGCTCGCACACAGTCATGCGCGAACCCAAACTCGGCTTTCGACGCCGTGTCAGCCAGGGCCACCGCCCAGACCTTCACCCACGATGATGCATCAAGCAAATAATGCGCTCCACCCCTGTTTTCTCGATACCGAAACCGCAGGACATGGAGCTGGCAGTCATGCGGGCGCTCGAACAGAGCGTGTGACGGCCCTGCGTGCCGCCATACATGCATGTCCCTGCTGCTGGCCCGCCCGCTAGGCAGGCCCGGAACAGGGGGGCCCTGCGGTTGTGTGTGTATGTGCGTGCGTGTGTGTGTGTGTGTGTGTGTGTGTGTGTGTGTGTGTGTGTGTGTGTGTGCATGAGTGTGCCCGTGTGCGCTTTCTGTGCGCATATGTTTGTGTGTGCGCGCGCGCGCGCGTCTGTGTGTGTGTGTGTGTGTGTGTGTGTGTCTGTGTTTGGTGCACATGTGTGTGTTGGTGGGGCTGAACAGCGGGTGCCGAGCTCAGGTTCTGCATCGTTTGATCGACATTGCATATGATCAGCCGTAGCTGTACTGGTGCACATGGCAGGGAGGCTCTGAGCCCGACAGTGCCGCGTCTCGAGGCGCGCTGGCATCGCTCGTAGATGATTGGACTGCGAGGTGCCCACCGCCGTCATACACTTACACACGCGCACGCATGTTCTGTAATGGCGCACACGCACGTGCTGTGATGGCGTGCAGTTGCTTGTGGCGCGAAGTGGCAGCGGTCGCTTGTGCACATGCGGGTAGCCCTATGGCCTGAAGGCCTGAATCGGGCCGGCGTGCGGGGCAGAGCGTCCAAAGCTCGGATATATCAATGAGGGGTTTATTGGCCCCAGCTGCAGGAACGGACCCCTCTGTGTCCAGCAGCTGGCTTCCTGCAGCATCAATCACACAACTGCGCAAGGCCCCTGGACAATCAGGGGGGGGCACTCTGATTGCTTGAATAAGGCCCACTCGAAGCAGCAGGCTCAGTGCTTGAACCTGCGGCAATTTGCTGGCTGGAAAGTTTTGATGAGAAGCGTTGGGTGTGACCATAGAGTGATCCCCGCTGGCTGGATGGCGGTGCGTGCACATATGGGTGAACCGTAAATGTCTGGCAGGTTCGCCGCTTGCAGCCACATGGGCGCCGCCGTGGGCCGCCTTGACCGAGCCTGCCACCCTCGGCAGCACCGCTCTGCGGCTGGGGGTGCTGTCAACAGGTCGGAGGCGCTCCGCAGGGCCAGCGAAGCTGCGGGTACCGCGCCAGCCCGCCGAACTGTCACATTGCACCTCACCAGACACGCGTCATCCGGCGTGCTCGCCGCCGCCATGGGGCACCAGCCCACCAGAGTGGCACTCAACGGGATGGCGGGTGACACCCCCCGCCGGAGTGCGGCTGCGGTGGCGGTTGCGGCCACATCCCTCCCAGAGCCTGCCTTCCAGAGCCTGACCTTGCACCAGCCGTACATCAATGTGGGGGGAGGGCAGGAGTACCCCGCTCGCTTTGTGTACTCTGCTGCTTGCCGGCTTTTTTTTCACCCTTGTTTACATGGTACCGTACTTTGATTCCCTGGTGAGGCGGTGACTGCCGACTACGACTCCAAGGTAGTTGAGGTATACTTGCGAGTGTGATTGGATGACAGTCCCAGGAGGGCGGGCGAGGGACCCAGCGGGTTGGGGCTACTCACGGGTGTGTTGGCCACAGGAGCTGCTCGTGCTGGTTGCGCGTGCGAGTGTGCAGATACCAAACTGGCAGGTACGGAGCAAACTCAATGCACCAACAGGCCGCGACATCAATGTATGCACATGTGCTTCAATAGTACACGTCGAAGCGCTTTGCACAATCGCCCAAAGCAGCGTACTGCACGATTCAACAACCTCACAGTCTGATCAGATCAGCCTCAGTTGTACCGCCCCGAAACGCTCCACGATGCAGTACGGGACGATGAATGCCTTCGCAATGTTTGTTTTACTGCTGCCATTGGCCAGCGCGTGTCCTCCTGGCAGCGACAAGTCCCTTGCGGATATGTGCCCCGGCAATCTTCTCATCAACGGCGGCTTTGAGGTGTGCTGCATCAATATGAGAGTACGCTTTGGGCAGCTCCACAGTGTCACCTGTCCAGCGCGCCCGCGCCCGCACAGCACCGCATGTCACCAGCGCCGACAAGGCGCCAACCATCACCAACACTCGGGTGCCCCCCTCACTGTCCCGCAGCTCCCAAACACGGAGGCTCTGCCCACAGGTGCGGGCGTGCACGATGTTTCTCTTGCACCAATCAAACCCAACAACGCATTGCCGGCGGCTGGATAGCTCAAGCTGCTGTCAGGGCGGCCGGCTGCGACAAGCGCTTGCTGGCTCCGCGAGCCGACCCTATTGACAGGGGCCGGAGGCATCAGCACCCCTGCCTTTATAGCCTGAACACCCACTGAAGATTTGGGACGTTAGAAGCGCCCTGCCATTCTCATTTGCAGAGAAGTACGACCCCAACAAGAACAGCTGCTGGGGCTGGTACTACGGAAAGTCTGTGCCAGGTGAGAGGGGCCCGCGCACGCATGCCCTCCGCGGGCCGAGCGGCGGCGCACACACCCGCGACGAGCCCGCGCCGCCCCTCGGCACGCGCAGCGGGCCGCCCATGCACCGCGCCGGCCCGACGGGCGCCGGTCGTTCCCGCCGGCGCCAGGTGCGGCGCTGCAGCGAGATTGCTGCTGCATGTATAAACCAGGTGCAAGGATGACGCAGCTGGGGCGGCCCAGAGGGTGCCGGACGCGCGCCGCCTGCATACGCTCATATGCTGCTGGCCGCCGCTGCTGCAGGGTGGTACGTGGTTCGGCCCGACGGCCAGCGCTGCGTGACTGTGGATTGGATGGGCGATGGGTGAGTGGAGGGCCCTCGTCCAAACAGAATGGTGGTGGGGGTTGTGTTGTGCGTGTGCGCGTGTGTGTGCACGTGTGTGCACACGTGTTTGCATGCGTGCTTGACATCAAACCCCAGAGGGCATGTGCAATCAAAACCAATGGGACGACCTCCATTCTAGGACGCATGTGCGGCGTGCAAATCAGAGGGCGCAGGGCCACGGCACGGGCCGAACTAGCGGGGCCGCGCTGCGGTGACGCCGCGCACCCGTTGAAGTAGAAACAACCGCATTTACTCGGAATCAATGCGCGCGTTGCAGAGTCATCGAGGTCGCACGCGCGGCGCTCACGCGCCCGGTCGAGGGTGAGAGGCTGGAACAACGCGCCCGGCCTGCCGCGGCCAGAGGGCCGCGTGCGGCTGTCACATCGTGTAGCCGCCCGCAGATGGACTCCAGGCGGGCCCCTCTTGCTGACACTAAAAAAACTACTCGAACCCAGTGGCGAAAGGACTGAAATCACTCGGGCTTGCGATTTGCGCGGCATTCAGGGAGCGCGTCTGTGCGGCGTGTGATCCTGAGCTTTGCCATGACTCCTACGCACAGCCTGCGACGTGTCTACGAGCCATACCCTCATGCAACAAAGCTCTGCCCCTCGTGCTCTTTTGCCCTCCCTTACCTAACACCTGCCTCCCCTCCGCGCCCGGTCTATGTGACGTGCTGCAGGGCGGCAGTACGGGGAGCTGCTCCCCAACGCCACTGGGGCGTACTGCCAGGACGTGGCCGTGACTAAGGGGGCGAAGTACAAGCTGAGCTGGTGGTATGGCCGCCTGGTGGCCAAGGCTCCCACGTGAGTACTTGAGAGAGAGAGAGAGAGAGAGAGAGAGCGAGAGGGAGACAGGGAGCAAGGAAGAGAGAGGGTTTGCGTGTGTGTGAGAGCACAATGGTTCGTGTTGTGTGTGTGCTTTTTTGGTGAATGTGTGAGTGCGCGCACATGCCCATGCACGGGTGTGTGTGCACGCGAGTTTGCAAACAGCGTGTGCGTGAGGAGTAGTGGTGGTGCGCGAGGTGGGGACCCCAGCCGTCAGCGGGCGCGCTTGCCGCGCCACCTGTCGCGAAGGCTTCCGCAGCGAGGTGATCCCAAGCTCACAGGCTGGCGGCTCAGCAGCGCTCAGCCCCCATTGGCGGCGTGTGTGAGCGCTCGGCTTACTCCCATCCCCCGCAAACGCATCCTCTTGACGCCCCGGCCCACCCCACGCGATGCGCCTCACGCCGCGCCGCGTGCTCGCGCCCGCCCCCGCCCTCAGTGACGGCAAGAACTTCAAGAAGGGAGACATGACCGTGTTCTGGACGTCGGCCGACGCGGCCGTGCGCGGGGCCTCTTACAAGCCCAACAAGCCGGGCAGGCGAGCTGGGGCATGGGGCCGGGGCCGGGGCGGGGCTTGTGGGAGGGCGGGCACGGCAGGGGTTTGTCACAACTGCCTGGGGGGGGGCGTGCGAGAGGCCGGGGGCGGGGGCTGCTTCCTTCTGGTGCGGCGCTTGCACCGGATTTACGCAGTGTGCGCAACGCAAGCCCCTGCTTGCACATCAGCAATCGCCCTTCAACCCTCTTACACACCAAGACACTCACCCGCACACACGCGCACACGTATAAACACACAATCACCAGGTGGCCCAAGGACACGCAGGGCTTCAAGCTGCTGCAGACCATGAACACCCGCGACTGGCCCATGGACAACAGCACGGGAATATACCAGCCAATCTGGAAAGAGTACAAGGTCGAGTTCACGGCGCCTGAGGACAAGGTGCGACTTTCCTTGGCCTGCCCTCAGGCTGCGCAGTCCGCTGCGCAGCACGGACCGGCTGCAGCGTGCAACGCGAGAGGCACACCGATCGCGTCATAGACCGTGCCCCATCAGCAGGCGACCACCGCCTCCTCCCCGGGGCTGCAGCCGTCCAGCTGCCGCTCCATCGGCGGCGCGCCTGCCGCTTTCTGCCTCTCTTCTGTCTGCTTGCCTGCATGCCTGCCTCGTCTGCTGACACACAGACACTCTTCCTGACCGCGGCTCCCCTCCGCGCCGCAACCCTTCAGATCACCCTGGCGTTCATCAACGGCATCAGGTCCTCAGTGTGCGCGTGCGGCTCCCTCATCGACGCGATTTGCCTGCAAAAGGCGTAGGCGGCGCACCTCTGGGTGCGGCCGCGCGGTGAGGCGCACGAACAAGTGAACAGGCTGCTGTCTGCTGCTTTTGGGGTTGCGACTTGGACCAGGTGGACGCTGCCTGCTGTCATGGTAGGAGGAGGATCTGCAACTTGGAGGCTACGCAGGACCAACATGTGGAGGATATGAGCACCTTGACTTGGACCTGAACCCTGCACTGTGTCGACTTCCAGGCATCAAATATTGGTTGGAGGTTCAGACCCCCCGCATCATATAGAAGGCTGAGAGCAAAGTCAATTTGGTAGTCAACACTGAGAATTCCTATTTTCCAATCACTGCTGAGGGCACCGGTTTTTGCGCTTGCCACATCAGCAGGCATTCCCTAGTAAGTAGGTGTAATACACTTGACCAATAGGTGGGGCTGGACTTGCTGGGTTCCCTGGATTTTACGAGGTACTCATTTTGGGCACGGGCTTGAGAGACTGATTCACACATGGGCATACAGTGCGTGCTCCCTGCAGCTTGTTTTCATACCACCGTAGTCATCGTCTATATCCTTGGCTTAGGAAAGTCTTGAGACATGAGCTCATGAGATCAGCCGTGTGGCTGCTCCATGGACAAGCAGCCCAGGCAGCCTCAACCCCCTGATGGCGATGATGCGCAAATTGACCCCATGGAGGCTTTTTGAATCTGGGCGTGCGTGGGTTGGCATCAACTCCCCTTGGTCGCTGCTGCATAAACTGCGTGCTTATCCGCTGCAGCCTGCGGGAGTGGGCTCGGTCATCGCACCAGGGCTCCCGCGTCGCCGAACAACTTGACTTATGGCAGGCGGCATCGGCGTCATGTGTCAACACCTGCTATAGCCTGTAGCATGGGCTTGTGACAGGTCCGTATGGCGCAGTCGAGCAACGGTGCAGCCAGGGGCGTGCAGGGGGCGTGCAGCACCGACGTCACCACAGCGGTTTCAATGGTTTCTAGGTGCGTTGCATCTGCTGCATGGAGCCACAGCACGATGCGCGGTCACAATTGTACCTCGGGTGCGTTGCTTGACACACAAGGCTTTACAGCTGTGGCGATGCCCTGCAATCTGGCTCTACGAGCATGGGCGGCGGGTGGGCCTCTCCGCAGCCTGAGGCCCGCAGCAGCTCGGTGCCTGACGACAGGCAATTCTGAAGTCGAAGCTCTCAACCAGGTCAGCAGCGCGGGCTGATCAGAACCCACCAGATCGCCTGGCTTTGCAGCAACCGGCACATTCAGGCCACAATGCAACGATTGGCACGTGCAGGAGCTCGAAAATTTCTTTGGGGTCCATCATGCCACAGCTGTGGCCCGCCAGGAGGCCTCACCGCACGGGTTGCATCCTTCGGAGGGCGCCCTCCGTCCACCGCCGGAGCCCAGGGCCAGTCCTTGCAGCAGCTCTGCGCCAGCTGAGGCGCACTTCCCAGAGCCACCAGGCCTTGACTGGCAGCGTTCAGCCGAATCCGGGATTGGGGAAGCACAATGGCAATACCAGCAGCAGCAGCAGCAGCAGCGGCAGGCGCCACGCTCTCCGGATCTGGATCAACTACTTTCTGACCTCTCAGAGCTCAAGTCAATCAGACGCCAGCTCGACGTGGTCTTTGGCAGCGATCCCGACTACCTACATCATCTGCAGCCTACCTCCTTGTTCGGACTGCCTAGGAATTCACCTGCAGGAGCGGCGCAGCACCCATGGCCGCCGGGCGCCGCCGCCATGGGTGGCACCGCCGCAGGCGGCTGTGCGGAGGGCGCGCCAGCACGGGCTGCGGCAGCGGCGGCGCCGTCTCTCACCCACGTGGACGGCAGCGGGCGCGCGGCGATGGTGGACGTGGGCGGCAAGGACAGCACCGCCCGCGAGGCGCGTGCGTCGTGCCGCGTGCTGCTGGGACCTGAGGCGTTCGCCCTTGTCCAGGTGGGGCGGATTTTTGCACCATGGCGGCGGCGCATCAGCCCAGATTTCAGCACAGCCGTGCCGAGGCCTGCGCAGGACAGTCACCCCCTCCCGCCTTGGCTCGCTCGCCCCAGCGTTGATCGCGGTCCCTGGCGCATGCGCGCGGGTTTGTGTTGGTGGCCACCGCCAAAGAGAGCGGTACACCGAGCTTCCGCCCCCCGAACCCACGTTTCCTGTCGCCCGCCGCAGTCCAACAGCATCAAGAAAGGCGACGTCCTCACGGTGGCGCAGCTGGCGGGCGTGATGGGCGCCAAACACACCGCGCTGCTCATCCCGCTGTGCCACAGCCTGCTACTCAGCAAGGTGTGCGCTCATGCCTTCGTAATGTGTGCCCTGTGTCACGCATATATTTGGGTGTGCGTGTGTTGCTGCCCGCGCGAAACGCTCGAGGTTCCACAACCCCACGGCCGCTGATGCTTTACAAAATTGGTGAATTCTGAGTGAGCCGGCGGGGACACCCTGCCGTGCAGTGCACAAACAATCTTTTTGTCCTGAGGCCCCAGTAGTGTGTCCAGCGTTCTCATTTTGTTGCAGTGTGTGTGTGTGTGTGCGTGTGTGTGCGCGCGCGCGCGCGCGCTCGCTTACGCTTTGTGTGCTTGCTGCTATCATACAGAGCCTGGGGCCCCCGGCATTGCTGCGGCCGATGATGTACTACGAAATTGGTGAATTCTGTGTGAGCCGGCGGGCAAAACACCTGCCGTGCGATGCACATACAAACTCTTCGTCCTGAGGCCCCAGGCATTCCCCACCTCCTACTCCGTGCCGCCCCTCTCCTTCCTGGCCCCCCGCGCCCCACACCCGTCCTGGTCCCCCTGGCGCGGCCCGTGCCGCACACGCCGGCCTCGGCGCTCCCAGCCGCCCCCAAACCTGCCCATTCCCTGGTTTTCCCCTGCGGCCCGCAGGTGGACGTCAGCCTGCAGCTGGACCCGCCCTCTCACGCCGTGCGCATCTGCAGCATGGCGCGCACTGTGGGGCAGACCGGCGTCGAGATGGAGGCGCTCACCGCGGCGGCAGTGGCGGCGCTGACCGTGTACGACATGTGCAAGGTGGGGCCCTGCGGCGCACGCACACGCGCCTGGGTGCGCGTCTGTTCGTCTGCTTCATTCGTTGCAGGCTGATGCAGCGAGCTCCCCGCCCCCGGCTGCAGGCAGCGGCTGCAGCGGGCGCGCTTGGACCCCCGGTGCATCCTCGGTGTCGAGCGCGCAGGGCGCTCAGCATGCGGGCTTCACACCCTCCCCTCCGCACCCCACCCCTCGAAACCGCCGCAGGCGGTGGCGAAGGACGCGTGCATCACAGACCTCCGGCTGGACTTCAAGAGCGGCGGCAAGAGCGGGACGTACGCCAGGGAGGCTCCTCCATGAACGCGCAGCGGCGCGGCCGCATGGGCGGCGCGGCCGCGAGGCCGTGCGGTTGTTGATCAAAGCATGCGTGGCCGCTTGCCCCGGCGGCGCTGCGCCCTGGAAGGGCTCCCTGCGGCGCTGAGAGACTGCGGCTGCGCGATCATTGGAGCACAGAGAGGATGTAATGTTATGTGGCCGGCCAAACTCGCTCCTCGTCAATGCCCAAGCTGTGCCGCTCGTCGTGCATGCTCACCGCTGCACCCGATGCCCACCCTGACAAGCGGGACGACCTGCAGCTAACTGTTTGTCCCTAGCAGCAAGGCAGGGTGCAGTGAACCATGCTGCCCAGCATACCTAACAGGTTGCTCAGAAGCAGAGCACCTAGCACGACAAGATGCGTAGCCTTCGAGACGCAAGAAATCGATCAATTTTGTCCAAATCAGTTGCTCCAGACGCATGGCGGCCAGTCCAGTGCCAGCTGGTGTCTAGGAATCACATGCGTTGGATGTTGCCTTACTTTGGCCTGCTCGCCAAGACGGTGCGCCCAAGGCATGCGCTGCGACCGGCGGGCAATGATCGTGTGCGCGACTCGTTGCCCACTGCGAGGCGTGAAACCGACGCGCAAGATGACCAGCCTGCAATGACGGCCCTGCTGGGTACTATTACGTTCATTAATTGAAGACTTTCTCGTGCCTCTCATATCCCGGCCCCTCGGCGTTCCCAAGTGAACCTCCTCGTCACTGGTGAGGCGGGGGACACCAGGCTGGGTGACTCAGGTCGGGCGCTCCATCAAATCGCAGGGACTCGCGACAGAACTGTGGGCGAACTTCTTCGCGACAGATCGTGCTTGGCCGCGCGCAAGAAGGTGTCGGCAAGCCACAGCGCGTTCCTCGAACTGCCTCCGTGCACTCTGGTTTACCTACCTCATTTCCAGTAGACCCCGGTCTGCTTGCTTTCAATTCACTCGTCGTTTGGATGAGAAATTTGTCAGGCCCGTTCTGCATCCCCGCGCCCTAGCCTCCAGTATAGTGAGGCTGCTGACCCTTATCAACCATCACGTTCGGCAGCCCCAACGCCACGTTCGTGAACGCCTGCATCGTTTGGTGGTATTACGGCAGACTACTAGGGGTCGGCCTCGCCCAGGAGCTTGGTTGGTCTCTGGGCGCGACGCCCGGCTGAACGAGCCCCCGAGGGCTCTCTTTTCCCAGCATAAAGGATCGTTAGTCTTCCTGTTCCTCAGCTGAGGAGTGGTGAGCGAACCTGCACCGCTGTTGCAGGCGTGTGCGGTGTGCTGGGCGCTGTTCGCGGGTGCTGACTGCCTCGCAGCGCGCTGGATTGGTCCACGAGTAGCAGTATGCTCCATACGCATGGGGCTTTGGCCCCGCGGGTTATGACGGCAAAGGGTGCGCGTGACCTGTCGTCGGGCCTTTACCATTACCCTATCCCTGATGCACTGCCCGGGCCTGCGCGGTGTATCGCAGTGATGACAGCGCCCATGGCGGCCTTGGCTCAGCACGCGGCAGACCCTGGCGCATTGAGCTCGGCCTGCGGTGGCTGCCCGGCGGGTGCCGCCAGCCGTGCGGCCACGGCAGCAGCAGCCGACAAGACCGTCGACGACGCTTTGATGGTGGCCCAGCTCCCAGGCGGCGCATGGGCCATTGTCAATCGGCTCCCCCTCAAGAACTTTGCAGAAATGGTGAGCAACGTGCGCGCGTGCTGGCACCGGCAGCAGGCTGGTGACGCCGCAGGGTACAGCCCGGTGACACCTTGCTTGCAGCGCGCGAAGCGCCGGCGGTCATGCGCTGCGCAGCCATCGCTCGGGCGCCATGACGCCATGCGCACGGCGGCAGCACTTGGCTCGCATCCCCGCAAGCCCGCAAGCCCACCGCGCCACCATGTGGCCCTCGCCCCTGCACCGCTCTCTGCATGCGCGCGTGACCCTTACCCCTGCTCCCCCCCCCTCCCCCACCGCAGTCTGCGCTCTCGACCTTCCCCGACAAAGACGGCGCCGAGCGCGTCCTCGGCGCGCTGCGCGCCGCCCACCAGGGCCAGCCGCCCCACGCCCATAAGCTGGAGGCCGGCGCCCCTGTGCCCACGCCAGGGTCGCCTCAGCGCGCGCCGCCGCGCGCGGCGCACGACGACGCGCGCACGCCGCCGTCCGAAACCGACACCGCTGAGGCTGCGCCGCCGCCGCTGCTCCGCGCGGTGGTCGCGCCCGCGGCGCCGCCGCCCCCGAAGCAGGAGCCCGCGCTCGCCGCCAGCCTTCTGCACGTGCCGCAGCTCCTGGCCGCACAGCAGCAGCAGCAGCAGCAGCAGCAGCAGCAGCAGCAGCAGCAGCAGCAGCAGCAGCAGCAGCAGCAGGGCGTGGGCGTCATGCGGGCGGAGCTGGCCGAGAAGCTTGCGGCGATCCTGCGGGACCGCCAGCAGGGCGGCGGCGCGGCGCTGGCGGCCCTCGACGAACTGCTGGCCAAGGGCAACCCCGTGGCGCTCGCCGTCGCGCAGCTGCTGCAGCCCCAGGCACAGGCGCAGCCGCAGGCGCCGGCGGCGCCCCCCGTCGCGGCCGCGGGGTCGCGCGGCCCCGTTGCAGACGGGCTCGCGCGCGGCGACAGCGGCGCGAGCAGCGGGACTGAGGACGCGTCGGCGTGCGGCTGGCCGCAGCGGCCAGCGGCGGGCGGCGCAACGGCGGCGCCGCAGGCGGAGGGGGGCCACGCGCAGGTACTGAGGCAGTTGCTGCAGCGCGTTATTCAGCAGAAGCAGCAGCAGCAGCAGCAGCAGCAGCAGGCGGCAGCCTCCGCCGCCCACGCGGCCGTGGCGCACGCGCAAGCTCACGCCGCCCCCACCTGCGGCGCCGCGTCGCTGGCCGGCATGGACCAGCAGCAGCTGGCGCGGCTGTCCAGCATGCTGCGGGACGCCGCCGCCGCGGCCGGCGGCGCGGGCGGCACTGGGTCGGGCGCGCTCGGGACTGCCGCAACGGTGCTGGGTGGGCTTGAGCCCCAGTCGATCCTGCGGATAGTGAATGCAGTCAGGGAGCGGGAGCTGCTGCTTGCGCAGCAAGACGCGGCCGCCGCTGCCGCAGCGCAGCAATTGCAGCAGCAGCAGCAGCAGCAGCAGCAGCAGCAGCAGCAGCAGCAGGAGCTGCGGCAGCAAGCGGCGCTGCAGCTCCTGCACGCGCAGCAGCAGGCGGCGCAGGCTCACCCACTGGCTGACCTCATTGCGCGGCTCGGCGCGGCGCGCCAGCAGCAGGCCGCCGCGGCTGCGGCTGAGCAGCAGCAGCAGCAGCAGCAGCGCCTGCAGCAGGCGGACGGCGCCGCGTTTTCTTCGCCAGCACCGCCTGGGTCGCTCGGCCCGGCGCAGGCGCAGGCGCTGCTAGGCGCGGTGCAGCGCCTCGGCCTGAAGCTGCCCGGCGTCTGCTTCAGCGGCTGTGGCCTGGTGCACCGCACGCACCGGCGCGCGGCGGCGGCGCGCACGCGGCGGGGGGCCGGCGCTCTTGCGGCGGCGCTGAGCGAGCACGGCGTGCTTGGGGACTGGCCGCCGCTCTGTGCTGGGAAGGAGGCAGGGGACGAGGACGAGGAGGAGGAGCGGCGGCCGCGCGATCATGCAAGGTGGTCGGGCTCCCCCGAGGACGCCCCGCACCAGCTGTGGCGCGGCGGCCGCGCGCCCGGCGCCGGCCGGGGGCGGGGCCGCGGCGTCAAGCGCGCGCGCGGCAGCGGCGGCGGCAGCGGCAGCGCGGGCGGCTCGCCGGCGCCTGCGGAGCAGGAGGCGGCGGCGCCTGAGCCCCCGAGGAACCGCAGGAAGGGGGCCAAGCCGACCCGCAACCTGTAAAGACCAGGGCAGACGGGCGCGGCAATCCGCCGCCAATGGGCGCATCTGTTTCAGCTCGTGCATGAGTTGCTTTCGAATAGGCCGTGAGACACCGCGCCGCCGGCCCGGTCGCTGCCTGGCCGCTGCCCGCCCGGCCACCATCTTGCGCGCCTTGCGGGCTTGCCGCCATTGAGGAATTCCTTGCGGCGCGTCTGACCGGCGGAGCAGCCAAGGGGCGCAGCACCAACGGTGGCTGCTGCAGCCGCTTGTTGACTGCGGGGCGGCGGCGTGCGGCACCAAACATCTGCATGTTGGCGGACGCGTCTGGGCCGCAGGCACGCGCAGTGCCATCTACTTTGACCAAACGGCCGCCTGTGCGGACCAATGGGGGCTGACTGCAGCCCGCAGCGCGGTGCAGCGGCGCCTTGAGGCTTTGAGGATGCCGAGCTTTGGTCGCACAGGGCCCTGGGGCCCGCCGGGGCGCGCACGCAATTACGCTTGCGGGCGGCCCCCACCTTGCCACACGGCCGCCTGCCCGCGGCGTGGCCCACCCTTAACCCAAACCCATCCTCAGCGGCCGGCCGCAGCGGGCGCGTGCCGAATGCAACCCATCCAAGTGTGCTCTCTCGCCCTCTTACCCATGGCCGCAATGGCCCTTCACGCGCACTGCTTGTGTCACCGGTTGCAAACCGCGCCTGCCGCAGCTCGGCGCCCCCATTCAGGGCGCCGCCCCGTGGGCGTGGGACCCAGCGGAGGACTGGACCCGGCCCAGCAGCGCGCGGACGCCCGCACTGCGCCTCTGCGCGCACGTGCTGCTGGGGCGGCCGGAGGGGCGAGGCGGCGGGCGTCGGCTCGCAGCGGCAGCCCCTGTGTGTCCCCCCGGCCGCAGCCTCCTTCATACGGGCGGCGAGTGGTCGGTTGCTTGCAGCGAGAGGCCCCAAGCGGGCGCGCCCCTGCAATTCACGCCGCCTCGTTTATTTTCGCTATGCATGGCGTTGCACAACCCTATCCAGGCAGCGCAGTGCAGAGCCTATGGACCACTGATCAGGCTGGAATCATCTCAGCCCTGGTTCGTTCCTGCGTGTATCTCAACTCCGTCCAGCGCTTAGGGCTGTGGCCTTGGGGGTTGCGCCCGCGCACCTTTTCTGTCCATGCGCACCTCCCCATACTCGCTCCTCTCCGCGCTGGTTGCCCAATCCCGCTGCTTTTGCCGCCGTGCCTGCCGGTGTAAGGATGGGAGCGGGACAGGTGCGCAGGACGGCGCACCCCCCCCCCCACCCACCCACCCGCGCGGCTGGCGGCACCTGAGCATTGCTTACAGCTGGGCGACGCCTGGTTCTGGGCAGGCACACTGTGGCAAGGTTGGTTGCCCTTGGCCTCTGGCAAAGATATCGTGCAACGCAATGCAGCTGGCGCCGCCGCCCTGGGTTGTGCTGCCACCCGTTATTTTTGGTGCAAACTGGAGCCTCCACTCATACATTTGAAATGCCCCTTCTGGGATCAAATCTGTAAATGCAGGCTGGCAGGCGGGGCGTTTCGAGCCGCAACTTGTAAGTCATGGACACATGCGTACACGATGACAAAACACAAACGGCAGCGAGCGCTCTTGCAGTGGCCGAACCATCCGGCATTGCTGAATTTAAGATATCAGGTGTACAGTAGTCTGTTGAGATGATATGGCGCGGTCAACTGTTATCTCGCCACAGCTGATGCACCTGCCACCTTCCTACCAACCCAGCTGCTGGCCAGCGTGACTGTCCGCCCACCAGCATTGCAAGACAGTGAGAACTGGGTAATAGGACGAGTGCTAGAGAGACCAGTCGACCATGGCCCAAAGTAAGCGCCAATGCCCACGGCAAAGGCTGCGCTGGTGACCACTGCTGGGTACATTATGCGCGCACACACACACACACACACACACACACACACACACACAC